AAAATTGGGAAAGGAGTACGACAAGGCTGTATATTGTCCCCCGGCTTATTTAACTTATATGCAGAATACATCATGAGGAAGGCTGGACTGGAGGAATCCCAAGCCGGAATTAAGATTGCTGGAAGAAATATCAACAACTTCCGATATAGAGATGATGCCACTCTGATGGCAGAATGTGAGGAGAAATTAAAGAACTTCTTAATGAGGGTGAAAGAGGAGAGTGCAAAAAATGGTCTGAAGCTCAACATCAAAAAAACTAAGATCATGGCCACTGGTCCCATTACCTCCTGGCAAATAGAAGGGGAAGATATAAAGGACAGATTTTAATTTCTTGGGCTCCGTGATCACTGCAGATGGTGACAGCAGCCACAAAATTAAAAGACACCTGCTTCTTGGGAGGAAAGTGACAAGAAACGTAGACAGCATCTTAAAAAGCAGAGAACATCACCTTGCTGACAAAGGTCCGCATACTTAAAGCTATCGTTTTTCCAGTAGCGATGCATGGAAGTGAGAGCTGGACCATAAAGAAGGCTAACTGCCGAAGAATTGATGCTTTTGAACTGTGGTGCTGGAGGAGAGGAGTCCCCTGGACTGCAAAGAGAACAAAGCTATCCATTTTGAAGGAAATCAACTCTGAGTGCTCACTGGAAGGACAGATTCTGAAGGTGAGGCTCCAATACTTTGCCATCTCATGAGAAGAAAAGACTCCCTGCAAAAAAAAATGATGTTGGGAAAGTGTGAAGGCAAGAGGAGAAGGGGACGACAGAGGATGAGATGATTGGACAGTGTAATAGAAGCTGCCAACATAAATTTGACCCGACTCCGGGAGGCAGTGGAAGACAGGAGAGCCTGGTGTGCTATGGTCCATGGGATCACGAAGAGTCGGACATGACTTAACGACTAAATAACAACAACAATAGACATACATCTGACTTGCAGTGCTAGAGGAACAAGAATGCATGTAATAAATAACCTGAACAAGTTAGGGTAGGAAGAAAAATAGACAAAATGAAAACAAGGTGTGTTTAGACATTGTTTCCTCAGACCTGTTCTAAACAAACATAGCTACACTCAAGCTTTACTTCATATGCCATAAAGATATATACTTAACTGACCTCCTGATCTATCTCAGGTACAAGTTTCACTCTCTGTGAATCAGGGTCTGAAAATGTAAGATTTTAAGATTGATTATTATAACATAACTATGTATAATAACAAACTAACATTAACAGTTTAGGAACTACAAATTACATATTTTATAATAAGAGCACAACTGCACACTGTTATAATGGTTGTGCCATATGCTGTTCTGACTGGTATAAATACGTCCAACCAAATATCATAGAGTACAAATGAATATAAAACAGGTATATTGGATTCTGACTTTCCAAAGTACAAGTATTCCTACCTGTAAAATCTATATGCTTTGAGGTAGTTCTCTTTCCAAAAGGTAAATTATAATCATCTTCAGTTCTGTTGTTAAAATTCTGGTGGAGGAAAGTGTCAAACAATATTATTAAAATGAAAATACACTGTAATATATCCAGATGTACTAATATAGAAAATTCTAAACATTACTTGGAAATGCCTTACACTGAAACTGAAAGAACTTCTCATACATAATAATGATGAAGTCATCATCAACAACAGACTGCCACTAATTAAAAGTTTTGTTCAACAATTTCAGGGCACATGTAACATCATCACATTGTGTGTGAGCCTCTTGCATGCTGAAATGTTTTTGATCAGCAGGAATTTGCTGCCAATGATAATATAATCACTGTTGCACATACAGAGCTGCACAACAGGACTTCAGCCATTATTATTTTTATTTATACATGATTTCTCAGCCTGCCAGAGTCCCCATAATGACAGGCAATATGATCCCAATATGAAACCAAAAGCGAAACAAAACTTTATTTTCAAAACAAAGAAGCATTTTTTAAAAAACCAATAACCTAGCCAATGAGGATAATTTGAAAGCAGAGTCAGAGAACAAGACAGACAGACCTACTCAGTACAGTATCAACCTTTCTCTTGGGAAACAAAAAATTATCAGTCTGAATGCTTCTTGGCTAAATATTATATAGTGTGAAACTACATGTCAATGCATCCATTTTTGAAGAGCAAATAATGGAGACAAGGTTGCTAACAAAGGAGGAGGAAGGAAGGGGTAGCCTTAAAAACTCTGAAATATTGGAAGGAAGTTTAACTTCAGTGGAAGATACATAGCAGTTTCCAGACACCCAATATTGAAGAAGAAGAAGAATGCAAGATTGACTGAAATTATGTTGCTTAGCATAGTAAATCACAAGTAGAGCAGGCCTACTGAATCAGTGAGAATTTTGTGTGTCAGCTCCTTCATAACTTCCAATGATTTGATGGGCCTACTCTAATTGTAATTTACTATGCTGAGCAACAGGAATCCAGCTTTCATTTCTCTCCAACAGGAGAAACCTGATAAAGAAGATCCAAAATCAAGTCAAGTAAAAGTGCGGAGTTCAGCCAGTTCAAAATGGTAAGAAGGCAGGGTTATTCTAGCAAGGAAGTAGGACAGGATGGCAGGCCCTGAAGCTCTCAATAGACTTCAGCAGCTCTGTTCATCCAGGACTGAGATTGTTGCTACCTATGACACACACATACATACCCATAATTCAGCCACATGCATTCCCATGGCTGGAATGCCAAAGAAGAAAAGACTTTCACTGAGGAGACACCTAATTTCTGAGGGAGTCTTCCAAGTATTTATCTGGTAAACCTGAGCACTTTGCTGCATAGCCTTGAGCTAAGTCTGTGCTTTCTTTTGCTATTATGCTCAAAGAACAGGAGGGGGTCCACCTTACTTTTCTAATTGTGGAGCTGAGCTGCATATATCTAGGGGCCAGATTCATGAACCCCAAGGATCCTGCATTGGTGGGGGCTGCTGGCTCCTAATCACACTCATGGAGATCAAATGTAAACTCCTAAATTAGTTTTCTGGAATTTTCATGACAATGCAGCAACTACCTCACCCTCTAGGACCAGTACTGAGACAAACAGCCATCCATAAGCCTCAAGCCTAGTCCTCTAAAACAGGGGTCGTCAACCCCGGACCACAGCCTGGTGCAGCCCCATCGGCTTGCCAGAACTGGGCCATGGATACAGATCTCTGCCCCACCGCATGCTTGCGTGGTGGGCATGTTGCACTCACAGGGGGCATGTCGCGCTCACGGTGGGCGTGTTGCACTCATGGTGGGTGTGTCATGCTTGGGCAGGGAGTGTCACACTTGTGGTGGGCATGTCACACTCATGGTGGGCGTGTCACGCTCGTGGGTGTGTTGCACTCACGCAGTAGGCGTGTTGCACTTGTGGGTGGTGGGCGTGTCATGCTCATGTGGGGGAGTGTCGTGCTTGTGGTGGGCGTGTCATGCTTGCAGGGGGGCATGTCACACCCACCGCAAGCATGACATGTTCCCCTGCACGAGCACAACACCCCCTGCGAGTGTGACACGCCCACCACACTTGCGTCATGGTGTCCCTACCCCACACCATGGAAGCCGCTCCCCTCAACCAGTCCGTGGCCCCAAGAAGGTTGGGGACTGCTACTCACATGCGTGTGAGCGCAACACACCCACTGCACTCGCGTGACACACCCACCGCGCATGGAGCCCGCTCCTCCCAACCAGTCCGTGGCCCCAAAAAGGTTGGGGACCGCTGCTCTAAAAGGAGAGCAACCTCATCCTAAAGCTATGACCTCAGTTCCAAGCTATCTTTTCTACTAATCAACTTAAAGTTAATTAGTCTGCACAAAATCTCAATTTATTCATCTACTGTATATCCAATTCCTCACTGCATCCAAATAGCAACTGAAGACTTGTACAGACTACTTTGCATCAGTTGAAAGAGAGCTACACCATATTGATGACACTGGCCATTTTAAAAACAAATAAAGTACCGGTATGTTGAACTGTTAACCCTTTATTATGCTCATTTTTTAAACATGACATTGTTATTACCTGAAAGAATCCTTCATCCCGTTTGTTTGTTTGTGGTTTGACTGCAGATATCTGGGTATTACTTGGCTTTGGTGGTACAAACAACTTAAATTTAAAAGATTTCTCCTGCTCCATTTTTTTTCTTAAAAAAGACACAAGAATCAAAATTTAAAAATAACATTGTAAATTTTGTTTTAGATTAAATATACTCAACGTGCAGTATTGTTTTTCCTATTCCCTAAGACTAATATCAATTATTATATTATCTTAATAATTATTATATTATCCTAGAATTGAGTGGAGATTAACTAACCCAAAACTTGTTAGCAAAATTAAAGACAAAAAGAAAATTTTTAAAATGCAGCACATTAAAGAGTAAGAAATTTATTTCAGTATCAGCATTTGTGGATTGCAATCACCTTCTTCAGATACAGGGAGTGTAAATTCATGTGCCTTATATTTATTTCCATAGTGAGAATGTAACAGAATTATGGGAAGGCATAGGAAGGATTTGTGGGAAACGCACTACATGATATCAACCTGGAAATGTGTATAATGGGAAGAGCAAAGGGAGGAAATCAAACCTTTGAAGCATCCTCTGTAACTGTGATTGCCAGGAAGAATAGATCAGAATGCATTTCAAAGAGACTGGTCTATGTTTCTCCTATTTATTCAGTATATGGGTTAGTTCAAAGCAGTTCAGGCTAGCAAATAATAATATCATCAAAATGCCAAACAGCAATGGCATGAAGAGAGTCTTACAAGAGAGGAAAATTATAAATACTTTGGGATCTTGCAGGCAGAAAATATCAAACATTAAACAGTTAAAAGTAGGATTAGTAAGTTATATATAAGAAGAATAAGAAAAGCCCTAAAGTTGAAGCTAAATGGTGGAAAAACCATCAAAGCTATAAACCTCTGAGTGGCACCAGTTAGTGGGTATACTGCAGACATACTTGACTGAATGCAACCTGAACTGGGCACTTTAGATCAAAGAACTAAAAAATTAATGACCATCCATCACACATTGCATCCACAGAATGACATTGACTACTATATCTTCCATAGAATGAAGGTTTACAAGTCGATCAGTTGAACAAGAAAAGAGAGGTCAGAATATACCAGTAAAAATCAAGCAGGTTTACTGAAGACCAAAGAAACAAGGGAAGCCCACTGAAAACACAAGTTAACTATGCAACATAACTCAGTGACCTATACCTTAAAAACATTCAGGGAAAAGCCAACAGAAATTGAAGGGTTTATTATCCTTGCAGCACAACAGAATGCAGTCCATACAAATGGAATTAAAATCTTAAGGCAGAATTTCCTCTATGATGCCATCTCTCTTGCTTCCTTCAAATTCACATTTTTCTGTGCCTTTGGCACAATGTTGGTTCCCATTCCATATTGTAACTAAATTAAGTTGCAATCCAAGAAGCCTTACTTATCAGAAGGGTTGTATAGGAATGTGCTGCAAGCACACATGAATGAAATGACTGGATATTATTTTCGGTTTACTCTTATCTCTATTGCCCCTTTTTCTATTTTCTCCCTTGTGCTGATTTCTAGATTGCAAACTTCTGGGCAGAGATTCATCCTCTTGTACAGAATCATATAATGTGTATTATAATGGGTGTAGAAACAATAACCTCCAGGTATTTTCGCAACAGCAGTTTCACACCAAGTTGTTTTTCATGCAGATTATCATTCTTCATTCATAACAGTCAAGCAGATTGCAGTCTACAAAGGTTATTCCAAATAAGTCTTAATCTTTAAAGTGACACAAGAATGTTGTTTCGTGTGAAACAAGAAACACAGCTGGCCCCTTACAAATGACTCCATTCTTAATGCTCCCTCTCTTTCCCCCCCTTCTCCCACCACTTTTCTTATAGTAGAAAGTCCATTAAAAAGAAAAAAAAGATGGAATCACTGCAAATGCCTTCTCACTGAAACTGTGGGAATACTGTGCCCCTCACCTGGAAAGAATGATTTTAAATGTAAAATTATTATTTATGTATTTATTTAAAATGTTGATGTAAACAATTGGCTTTCAATGAATGTACGTTTTGTATTCAAATGCTAATCACAGGAAACGGAAAAATCGACTTCATGGATGCTTAAGTGTCAAGACAGATTTTTTTTACACGTGCCATTTCCGTGCATTTTTCATGAGTATGAACACTGAAGTCAGTCAATAGGAGGGAGTTCGCAATTATAATAACTCCATCCTTGCACTTTTTGCTACATAATAACGTCAAGCCCCTCGTACAAGGTCATGAGGCTCTCTAGCTTCACGTGAAACAGCCACACTGTATAGTGTTTTCCAGCCAGCGGGCTCCCTTCGCATCCCCTCAAACCGTCTACCCACGGTCCGCCTACACACTGAGGCATGAACAGCGCCTCACACCAAAGCGGAAATGTGTAACCCTCGGGTGTGGAGTTTCCAGGCTGGACGGCTAAGCCGGGCGAAAGTGACATGTATACTGAAAAGGCGAGGCGAGGGTAAGGCGCCAGAGGTGCACGCACCCTGGACGCCTCATTACCTCGAAGGGCAGCGCTGAGCTTAACGGCCCGAAAGAGATGAAAGAAACGGCGGGAAAGAGCCCGACCGCGAGACGTGTGCAAAAGCGCGAGCTCCGGCGTTGGCCGTTTAACGATTTTTCCTCGGCAGAGGCCGCAGAATGGAAGAGTGGCTTATAGAGACCCCCTCGGTGTGGGAGAGGGGAGGAAGTGAACGTTGAGGGGATTCCCTCCGCCTTTGACAATAGGATCACTCTGAGTAATGACAGCCAGCAGCTACGATAAATCCCCAAACCTGTGTATTCTTTGCACGCAGTTGGCATGTCCGTTTTCTGTTCGATGCTGGGGGGGAGGTTCAGAAAAAGAAGAGGCGTAGAAATATTTGTGTTGCTGTGCCTAGCGCCGAATTTCCTGAAAGTTGTGTTCTCTGGGAGCGAAAACTATATGATCAACAGCGTCCTGAGCTAGCTCAAGGAAAGATGTAACTCTAAAAACCTGTCAGTTGTAAGCAATTCTGAGTTAAAGAAATCAATAATTAGAATGTGGACCTTTAAATTTAAACTTTTCAACCAACATCGTTGCCACTGAGGATAAAATAAGCATGCATGAATTGTCGAATCCGCCCCACTAGCATCCTTTTAAGACAGGTATAGGAAATGTGAACTTGCAGGGTTTCCCGGAAAATAAGACCTAACCTGAAAATAAGCCCTAGTATGATTTTTAGGATGCTCGTAATATAAGCCCGATCCTCAAAAGAAGCCCCTATTAAATGAAATTCCACCCTCCACCATTGTGCAGCAACCAGAAGATGACATGACTGTATTTGAATAAATATAGATTGTTGTACATAAAAAAAAAATTCCCTGAAAATAAGCCCTAATGTGTTTTTGAAGCAAAAATTAATATAAGACCCTGTCTTATTTTCGGGGAAACACAGTAATTTGTGGGTCCAATCAAATTTACAACTTGCACCAGCTTTAATGTAAAATATAGCCTTGGAATTTGATCACAGATTTTTTGCATAATATGTAGCATATTTTATACAGGAGAGAAATCAAGGACACTATTTCAGATATTAGCTGGTTGGATAGTTCAGTGGTTGTGGTATCTGGCTTTGGAGTCAGAGGCTAGGAATTTTATTCCCCACTGTGCCTCCTTTGAAGTAGAGCCAGCCTGTGTAGCTTTGGGTAACACTCACAGTCCCAGGGGACCCCAGAGGAAAAGAATGGTAGCCACTTCTGAGTAATCTCTACCTGGCAAACTCTGAAACGTGTCACCATAAACCAGAATTGATTTGATGGCACATAATTATTTTATTTAAGATATTAAATGGGGAAGTGCTTCAGAATCTGTGTAAGGGGCAAACTAAATAAGACAAGGGAAAATATGCCATGTATGCACCCTGGAAAAGCAATTCAGTTCAGGGAAAAATTATACAGAGGGAAAGAACAAATTCCCACTTCCGTGCCACAAGAGGCTTCTTGCAGATGCCCTGTCTGCAACGTTCAATGAAATGGAGATGTATTCATCTTCACTGTTATGTTTGATTTGACCCTCGGAGAAGGATAAAGACATTCTTGAAGTTTGTTACATTATCTGACACATAGGCTTACTTCATTAACTCTCTTGAATCTAGGTGGACACATTAAGATCCAGTCTTAATTAAACTTTAGTTTTTGCGTTGGTCTTAATTTTCTCTTCAGTTACAATGTATTTTCTACAATCCTTCTTTTTCTCAGAGTATACACACAGAATATTCTTTAAACCAAAGGTATGCATACAATTACAATTTAGGAACAAAACTTTTGGTCCAGTTATAAATAGAAAATAAACTACAGAAGACTAGGTTGATTAGTCCATTTATTAGACTTAAATATATATCTGAAAAATATAGTACTATACAAAATAGGTTTCATGTATTAAAAATATTTCCTATATATTCACATGAGCAACTTATACCATAATATATTTCAGATATTGAGACCAATTCTTAAATGCCAAAGGTAACAAATTCTAACATAAAACAACATTTTGAGACATATTATATTATTTTTTAAAAAACTAGTTGATACTGTCCTAATATCAGACAGCAAAAACAGTTAAGTTGGGGGTTATTTATCACAAATATTATAAATCTTTAAGATAAAGTTGAGAAAGCAACTGGAACTAAATGAATGAAAATTATGTGTACGTCTTCTAGAAAATTACTGGAAATGTTACTTGTGCTTGTGACTGAAGTCCCACTGGTGGACATTTTAACATTGCTACTAAAGAATTGACTTGTGGATGTGCATCCTTACTATATTATGGACGCTTTGTACAAAAACAGATGGTAGTCGTGAACTGTATTATATTGTGACAAATCATAACATGAAAAATTGTTCAATAATGCCTTTCAAAAGGCAGAACAACTGCAAAATTAAATTGCAACTATTTGCTTAGGGATAGAGGAAACCTACATTAAGGTAAAGGTTCCCCTTGACAAATGTCCAGTCGTGTCCAACTCTAGGGGGCAGTGCTCATCCCCATTTCCAAGCCGTAGAGCCAGCATTAGTCCGTAGACAGTTTCCATGGTCATGTGGCCTGCATGACTAGACATGCCATTACCTTCCCACCGAGGTGGTACCTTTTTATCTACTTGCATCTTTACATGCTTTTTATTTACTCGCATGCATTTTTGCATGCTATTTATTTACTCACATTTTTGCATGCTTGTCCCAGCTCCTGCTAGGTTGGCGGGAGCTGGGGCAAGCAACTGGAGATCACTCCGCCACGTGGATTCAAACTGCTGATCTTTCAACCTTGCAGCCCAGAGGCTTTGCAGTTTAATCCACCGCGCCACCATGTCCCATCAAACCTACATTAATTAACAACAAATACAATAAAATGGTTATCTCCAGTAAATTTTATGTTGATGTTTTTATAGTAGATGAAAGATATAACTGAAAGGAGAAATGTGGAAATAGCAGGGAATGTTTGTGCATTTTCTCAGTTCAAGTAAATAGAAAATATTAAAGACTTTACTATTAAGATTTTATCTATAGCTGAAGTAAAAAAGATATACCTACTTTGAACAGCCATTCTAACAGAAATATGATATTGACTCTCATAGGAAACAAGGGTTTAAATTATTTAATCCATAATTTCATTATTTTGTTTTCTCATTTGCGGATACATAGAAACAAAACATCAAGAAATGTTTGTACTGTATTTAATTTCATGTGAATATGTGACTTTCGGATGTAGTGTGATGTTGATGACATGATGAGGAGACCATACATATATGCAAAAGAGAAACACTTTAATCAATAGCTCCACTTCAAGTTAATGAGATAGGATATGTTCTCATAATTCTTAGAATTACAGTGTTCAAAAGGACCACAAGGGTCATTTAATGCAACTCCCTACCAATGTAGGAAGTGTGAGGTCCATCTAAGCCTGGGTATGTTTCTTCATATGGGATATCAGCAGATAACAGCATGTGTTCTTTTGAATTATGAAGCATAGCAACATGAAATACCAGTCCCCAGGAGTTTTCACAGATTGACAACCTCCTGGACAAATAATACCATGTTTACCAAATATCTGAATATATATAATGGCACATGGAAAAAACCTGAATGGATCCAAATCTATAGCATATTAAATTTATATTCCACATAACTTTTCCAGCTGGGACGATAATGTTAAGCAGATACTGTAAATTGTACATGTTCTCATATCTTTTCAACTACATAAAACATTACGTTTGTGTTTTTAGATTTAAAAATATTTTCAGCAAATCACAGCACAATATTTTTGAAATAATCCATAGCCATATAACAAATATTTTAATAAAACTACAAGCACTGGAAATTACTATTTTAGAAAAAGAGGCCTCTATAACAATTTAACGAATTAATAAACTGTTTAGTGCAAGTCCCAGATTTCACAAAATAACGAAGGCAGCTTAGGATCTCTTGTTCTCCAAGTTACTAGTACTTCTGAGTGGTTGTGATTGAGGGTTCTGAGTTCGGTGAGTCGTCCTATGAGACGGGCAAAGTGTTGTGGTTCATCAGGATGATAGATTTTTGAATATTTGTAGAGAAGTCCTAAAAAGGGTTCCTGGAGTTTCTCCACGTGTTGCTTGTTTTTTAGGAGTGGACGATCTGAAAAACATGAAAAGCAGAAACACATGATTTTGTACAGAATCCTTAAAAGCTGTCTGAGCCTTGTAATCAACTTCTGAGGTCAGCTCTTTGGATCTTCTTCAAGAGCCATTAGATTTGTGAGTCAATGGACAGGGCCTTTTCTGTAGTAATTGCCACTTTAATGCTCTCTTTCCACAGAGATATGTATCAGTCCTTGTTAATGTTTTTAAGGAGATACGCAAAAATATTTTTATTACATTCAGCTACTGATTTTAATAGTTTGTTTCATATAATTTAATATTCCGTTGTAATTTTAAATTTAATAAATTATTTCTATGCAGATCATTGAACCTATTAAATAAATCATAAATATGAAAAATGTATTTTTCAGGGTGCTCATGATGTCATAAAATAATCTAGTGTATAATATCAGGTCACTATAAACTTTCATATGTGTAAAATATTTAAAATCTAAATTTTTGGTATTAGAAATTATAAACAATGTAATCCTGTCTTCTGTGGCAGGAGAAACTGTTCTCATTTTATACCATATTATTACTAATTTCTTTCATCTGCTCCACTTTTGAGCCCGCTCTCTGGGGAAAAAATTCCATTTTATGGTTTTCTACATCTCTATCAAGGTAGCAAAATTAAGAATTTTCCTTTCTCTGTCATATTGGTTGGTTATTATTCTTCGGGCACATTATGAGAAAACAAGACTCACTAAAAAAGACAATAATACCTGGAAAAGTTGAAGGCAATAGGGGGAAAAGACCAGATAAGAGGCAGATTAGCTAAATAAAGGATGCCACAGCCTTGTATTTATGAGAGCTCAGCAGGGCTATTGACAATAGGGCCTTTTGGAGATCACTATTTCATATAGTTGCAATAAGTCAGATGTTGATGGCACATAATACCAGATCACAGTGACTGGAATCCTCCTGGGCACTGGCAGAATGTAAAGTCCTGCTGGTCCAGTCATGCAGGATATGCCACTTGTGTAAGCACTGCTTTTATATAAGGTTTCTGGAGTGCCAGCTCACAAGGGATTAGTGAATACCTCCTTAGACAAGCATTGAAAATATCAGGTCACTTGCACTACATCTGTTCAGTGAGCAGTCTGACATAAGCAGGCTCCCAACAAATGTATTTTCTACAGTAAGCAGCAGTGTTCTTATTTTATTTATCTATTTNTATTTATTTATTTATTTATTTATTTATTTATTTATTTATTTAATTTATATGCCGCCTACACTACCCAGAGGTCTCTGGGCGGCTTATAACAAAATTCAATACAGTAAAGATTAAATAATTAAAATACAATTAAAATACAATTAAAATTTTGCTAAGCTCAGAGTATGACTGCTTTCCTTCTTCAGAGATTTTGCTATTTCATAGTCCAAATTCACTCATCACCACTACATTTTTACATTCTGCTAACAGTCTCAATCCCTCTTAGGCCTTACTGGCCAGGCTGAAAGTTCTGATAGTTTCACCAGGCTTTCACATTGGTTTACATCTCCCTCCCTTTAAAAACAAGAGGGAGAAATATCTTTGCTTGTTCAAGACTCAGTCATCATGTGAGGCTGCAGCAACTGAATCCAAAATCAGATTGTTCCCACAACTGACACATCTACTGAAAGTAAAATAAATAAATAGATCTTTCAGCAATTAAACATCACTCTAATATTTAACATGCATTTTATTCCTGCTCAAATATTACAGAATCTGGTGGTTTGAACACACTTAGAATGGAATGTCTAGGCTTGCTCCCTTAGTTGTAGCTTCCTTCCTGTCACTGAGTCTGAAAAATTCTCCATTGTGAATAAGAATCCGAGGGACAGGCATCTCTCCTTTTCAGATGTGGTGATGTTCAAAACAATACAGTAGTTAGGGGCAAGATGCTCCCCTCTAAGTATGTTCAAATCACTGTATTCTGTAATGCCCAAACAAAGCTAGAGAAAGTTGATTGAGAAATTTTTATCTAAAAGCATTTACTTTTAGTATTTGAACACTATTTTATATTGGAGCTTAATATACCTGAAAAAAACACAGTAGTTGCAACAAGCAAAGCATACTCTGTCTCAGTAACATTAAGTTCTCCCATGCTTCTGTAGAAGTAAAATAGAGCAGAGATAAACTCTTCAGTGATACCTGCAAAATCCAAAAAATGTCAGATGATAGCTAGACAAAACAATAGTTACTTATTGCTAAAGACAAACACCTTTACATAAACTAACATAGGACACAAACACAGACCTTAGATATGCTAAAATGATGCTCAAAGGAAAGGGAATACAGTATCAGTAACTGAAGCAAGATCAAATTAAAAATGGCAGAGTTACATTTTCTGAGGTGTTTAAACGTTAAAAGAAAAAAAATTACATGGATGTCAGGAGGTTAACAATCCCAGTGAAAACCATGGAGCAGAGAAATGAATAAGACAGTTTTGTCCAAAAGACATGGACAGAGAAAAGGCTAGATGTGGTGGTGGAGAGACTTTTATATGTTCGTGGAAAAAGTTTAAATAAATTTGTGAAGAAAAGTAGGCTGCATACAGAATGGAAGAATTTTAACATGGGTATATCAGTGAACAGAACAGATTGAGAGAAGAGATTGTATAGCAAAAGAATAGAAATAGGGTTAATTAAAAAAAATACAAGATGAAGAAGTGTAAGTAAAGTTCAATACTGTATCATGTCAGCAAGGTAAGATGCAAAGTTTGTACAGTTGAATTATAACCAGGAATAGGAGAATATTTCTGCATGGAGAAACCAAAAGAGTCAGGATGAAAATTGAAATTCAGTATGAGAAAGGCAGATAGAAGAGAAAGAAAGGAAGATGGAAGCAATTAAAATGTAAGAGAGGGAGAGAATCAAGAGGAAAAATTACCAAAGGACATATTAAAAGGTATAAGTAAACAAATGTAATTGAACTAAAAATAAAATTATATGAAGAAGAGTAGTAAGATGAGAAAGAAAGAAAGAAAGAAAGAAAGAAAGAAAGAAAGAAAGAAAGAAAGAAAGAAAGAAAGAAAGAAAGAAAGAAAGAAAAGAAAAGAAAAGAAAAAAGAAAAGAAAAGACCTTCAGGAAGGGTCAGCTACTCTAATAAAAGGAACTGTCTGTGTTTTAGTAACATCAAAATAGTAATGTGTGTTTCAGAAAAGAAATAAGTACTGTATAGCTAACAGGAAATATAGCATAAAAAATCACAATAGACAAGATAATGAAAAGAAAGCAGCAGATCATGGAACACACTATGTGTGAAATCCAGTAGTAAGTTGCAACTAGTGTAAGCCCTTTGAATTAGTAGGGATTTAGTAAACTGGCTCATCAGTAAATTCCATGGACCTATTCTAGTTGCAGCTTGGTACTGGATTTCAGCCATAAATTGAAGTGTGTGAAATAGAGAGGAACCACTTAACAAAAGGATGCAAAAAATACATAGCAAAGAAAGTGAATCAGGAGAGAGATGAAGCTAGAATACCTGGAAGGGTATCATCAGGGTACTCACTCAGTCCAAGTAGTGTTCTGCTTGAATGAGTAATACCACACAAATGTATACTTTACTATCAATATTTTCATGAGTTAAGCACTTTTTAAATTTAGAACTTTTTAAAATGTCCAAAACTATTTAGTAACCCAAATCTTGCTGCTTACTTTAGCATAGCAACTTGCAGTTAGAGTAAGACTTAGTACAACTTACAGAGGTATTGAATCACTATACCTCCACTGATTCAATGGGCCTACTTTAGTACAATTTGCTGTACTAAGCAGAAGGATTTTGGCAAATATCTGCAAAGTTCAACACTTTACTAGAAATATATACAGATACTTTTAGAAATACTCTTTACCTGTTGTACTAGTAGATGTTGGACTTTCTTCATTGCCAGATGCTTCTGTGGTGTAAGTAATTTTATCTTGGCTGCATATAGCATGGACAGATAACTTTATATGACCTAGAGTAAATTAAATGAAAGTCCACAACTTAATACAATTGGGGGGGGGGTGTCACATAAATTTAAATTGTTATCACTTGATAAAAAGTGGTAAGAGATAGAGTATTATTAATGCTAAGAATATATTATAGTTAAGAAATGTCTTATAGTAGGCAACAACTCATCTTATCACATATATAAAGTAAACTGATCAGATGGCATGCAATTGTTAAACTAACTGCCGTGTTTGCCCAAAAATAAGACCGGGTTTTATATTAATTTTTGCTCCAAAAACGCATTAGGGATTATTTTCAGAGGATGGTTTATTTTTTTCATGTACAACAATCTACATTTATTCAAATCCAGTCATGTCATCTTCTTCTGGTTGCTGCACAAAGGTGGAAGATGGGGTTTCACTTAATTGGGGCTTATTTTTGGGGTCTGGCTTATATTACAAGCATCCTGAAAAATCATACTAGGTCTTATTTTCAGGTTAGGACATTTTTGGGGAAACGGTAATATCCAAACTTACTTTGCCTGAATGATGTTTGGCATTCAATCCCTTGTTCATTATATATTTGAGCTGAGCGTAAAAACATTGCTTCAATTGTGGAGCCTTTTAACAATGCAATCTGATCATCATCAGCTAAGCTTTCAAATCCTATACAGAAATGAGTAGATAACAGAAATTGACAGTGCACATATATATGAGATTTGACTTTTCTCAAATAACTTCTATGAAATAAATTTAATTCCTAAAATATTTTATTTTATATATATATATAATAACAGCTTTATTCTGTACAGATACTCCAGATAGGATTTTTTCATAATAATGCATTAAAATTAAAACGTACAACACTGGATGTACTCATATAAATTACAATGTACAGGTTAAGAGAACAATCCTATACTAATATCTGCTGAATAAGAAGCCATTGGATTCAGCAGATGCTGCATTGTATCAGCAGCAGAACACAAAATACTCATTGCAGATATAAAATTCAGTAGAACCCTCCAAATATATCAACAGAATTGCTGAAATACTGTAGCATTAACAACTCTTAGCATTCCTGTGACAGCCAGGTCTACCTAATTTGCCACCTTAACTAGGATCTGCTAATCAACAGTTTGACAGTTAATGTTAATGAATCCTTGTCTCTTAACTGTTTACTCACCTGGACATCACCGTGGAATAAATATATCTCAGTATATTTGAATGTACTGTATTTGTGTCCAAAGAAGTTGATTTTAGTTCATAAGACCTCATACTGAAACAAAATCTACTCTTTAAAGTGCTACAATATTTGACTTTCCCCCCCTCCTGTTTGGTGACAGATTGAGGAAAACTTACATGGCTGCTTCTTTGGAAATTCTTATGGAACATGTTACCTGGGAGTCTTTTTGTAAAATCCACTAGAGTCTGTGTATGAACCATAGCTGTCTCTGAAAGATGTAGAAAGTTCTCTTCAGGATTGGCAGTTTCCTGTAGCTAATTTAAAATATTTGCATTAGCAATATATACCATTAGAAAGTCACAGTACTGCTTTTATCAAACATGTCATGATAACATGGACTATATTTTATGAATACATACAAACTTTCTTGCTTTTTCCAGGGGAATTGTGCAGTTTTGGTGGGCAACCAAGATATGGTCAATAAGCTCATGCTCTCCAGGAGTAAGTTCCACCCTCTCAAGGACCTTTGAAAGAAAGATGTGCATAACTGTAAGGAAATAACTAATACTGAAAATAAATTATTGAAATATGAAATATGGCCCTACTTTTAAAGGTTTGGTTGTAGAAGATACATGCTTGCTGTCCACTCCCTCATCTTCCATCTTGATGTTACAGAGGAAGCTACTCTTTTTTCTGAGTCTCTTTGATTTACATTGGACTTCTGTTAGCAGACCTTTAAGAAATTTATGCCAGAACAAAACAGTTAGCTACATTGGAAAACGGTAGCCAAAATAAACACACACACACACACACACACACACACACACACAAGGACAGACACTCCAACAGTTTTCACTGTTGCTAGCAGCCCATCATGTGCCTGAGCACACAACCAATTGAGTGACCAGTTGTGCAACCTGACACATCTGAATACATGAGAGGCAGCTGGCAAGACTGGCCATGTTACCTGCACAGTTGCCAGTTTACACTTCACAATTCCTACCGTATTCAAGCCACATTACTAAAGCATCTCTTTTTGTAGAACATATAAAGTTTGCAAAATCAAGGCATTCCACATGTGTACTGCCTTCTACTATCTGATTTTCCTGTCTGGCAGTGACTTTAATGAAAGGACAAATCATTGCTTAAGGGGTGGGATTCTCCCCATTCTTATTTCTATTAAAGTTAGCCCCTACAGAGTGGAAAAGGCAACTTCTGCAGTTAAAAAAAGGTGTCAGGGTAAGTTCATGTGCCCTCCAAGGTTCAGAGATCAATGTGCACAACTTCTGGATGTCTTGACCACCAAAATAGAGCTGTGGGTGGTATTATCTGAGGTCACAACTCTGTGATGTATTTGGTGTCACTGGAAAGACAATCATGCTTGAAGGAGATAGAAAAAGAATACCTGAGATGGATTAACTTCATAAAAGATAGCAGGGCTGGCAATGATAAGAGGCGATTCAGCCATAAGGTTGTCATAAGTCAAAAAGGACTTGATGGTACATAACAACTTTCTAGTTACCTCTAGCTGTTAGTTTCTGATTGACATTAGGGTGCAATTCTTTATATATCTGAAGTCCCACAGAATAATAATCTGTGAGTAGTCCAATCTAAATGTGAGTTAGTCCTGGCTAGCTAAGAATGGAAGACAATCTGTCAGTGGGCTGGACGCTATACAAATAGAATTACTGTATTATACCAGCCATTGAACTTCAGTGTAGCAAGCTGCTGGTTGGAGCACCTGGTTAGTGAGTTTTACAGATTTCACCTTCCCATGCTCTACCTCCAGCTTGCTATACCACACACTGTCCAGCTCCCTGATTTTGCTGCTTTCATGACTGCTTCAGCCTCTCTTCAAATTGGGACAGGGCCGTGATGCACCACCTGCCTCCAGGCTGAACACTCAGATGTCAGGGTTTCCCTTCTGTTGAGGTCTATTTCCAAGGCCTTCAGATCCCGCTTGCAGATATCCTTGTATCATAGCTGTGGTCTCCCTCTGGGGCGCTTTCCCTGCACTAATTCTCCATACAGAAGATCTTTTAGAATCCGACCCTTCAAATTGGGACAGGGCCGTGATGCACCACCTGCCTCCAGGCTGAACACTCAGATGTCAGGGTTTCCCTTCTGTTGAGGTCTATTTCCAAGGCCTTCAGATCCCGCTTGCAGATATCCTTGTATCATAGCTGTGGTCTCCCTCTGGGGCGCTTTCCCTGCACTAATTCTCCATACAGAAGATCTTTTAGAATCCGACCATCAGCCATTCTCACAACATGCCCGAGCCAATGTCGACGTCGCTGTTTCAGTAATGTATACATGCTAAAAATTCTAGCTGATTTTAGGACTACTCTATTTGGAATTTTGTCCTGCCAGGTGATACCAAAAATCCATCGGAGACAACGCATATGGAACGTGTTCAGCTTCCTCTCCTGCCATGCACAAAGGGTCCAGGACTCACTGCAGTACAGGAGTGTACTCAGGACACAGGCTCTGTAGACCTGGATCTTGGTGTATGCCATCAGCTTCTTATTGAACCATACTCTCTTTGTGAGTCTTGAGAACATGGTAGCTGCTTTGCCAATGTGTTTATCCAGCTCAACATCTAGGGAGATAGTGTCAGAGATCGTTGAGCCAAGGTACACAAAGTCATGAACAACTTCGAATTCTTGTGTGGAGATGGTAATAGAGGGAGGTGAGTCCACGCCCTGGCCCATGACTTGTGTTTTCTTCAGGCTGATTGTTAGTCCAAAGTCTTGGCAGGCCTTGCTAAAACAATTCATGACATTGTTCCGAGTCCTCCATACAGAGCACGATACCATAGTCTCTCAAGACTGAAGGATCTAAACCACAAAATAACCTGTAGATGGAGTAGAATAAAAGCTTCCTTTCCTCTTCCTTTCTCTAATCCAGGTCTCTGCCTGTCACGTCAACACCTTCAACCACAATTAGATCCTGGATTATTGATTTTGGTGTGAACTAACTGTTACATACAGCACTGATGTTTATTGATTTTGAACTAACTGTTACATACAGCACTGATGTTACCTGTCTGTCATGGGTTTGGAGGGAAAGTTCCATCCTATGGGGAGTGGAAGGCGGGACATCAGGAGGAGGGGCTGTACTGTACTGT